GATTAGGGTAGGGGAAGGTGAGCGTACCAACTCCACTCGTCGCACCAGCGACAGTGCCCTTGACATCACCCCTTCCAATGGCACCAGTGGTCTTGCTAACAGTACCTTGCACGCCCTTGGTCGCTGAACCGACGGTATAGTATGCGTTATCGACCGCGCCTGTAGCTGTCTTGCCCACGTTGTCCGTTACATGCTTGACTGGCTTTCCTACACCACCAGGTAGCTTGTCCAGCCCCTTGCCAGCGTACCCAGTCACGCCGTTGACTGTGCTGTTTACACCCGTGGTCGCGGAGTCGGTGATGGTGTTAAGACCTCCAGTCGTCGTACCAACAGTCTTGTTCAAAGTGCCTGTGGCGGTATTGACCCCCTTGCCAACAATGCCCGGTTGCTTCTTCGCGGCTAGCGTGGACTGAGGAGTGGGTTGGCCTGGAGCGGGATGAGCTTTTATTACGGAGAGAGGGGTTGGGTAAGTACCATCAGGGTTTGTTTTGGTAGGGACCGTACCGTCTGGATTCACTTTGGCCGGCGTCCTCTTAACGGGAGTAGCTTTGGCTGGGGTAGCCTTTGTGGGGGTTGCCTTTGTTACAGTAGAAGACGCAGCAGTTGTGGTCTTCTTCACTGGCGCAGCGCCAGTCGTCTTACTGACTGCGCTGGCAGGCTGAGATTGCGCTGCGCCTGTAACCGGGTTCTTACGTATTGGCAGTGGCTTGGTTGTGCCCAGAGGTGTGCGTTGGCGTACTGGCTTTGAAGCTTCACTAATCGGGGTCTTGCCTGCAGTGACGGGCGTTTTCTTTACAGGTGTAGTAGTAGACACGGGCTTGCTTGCTGAAGCAGCGGTCACTGGCTTCTTTATGGGCGTTGAAGCCGTGGCTGGAGTCGCTTTTACAGGCGTGGTTGTGGTCTTTGCTGGAGTTGAAGCAGATGCGCCTGCTGCATTCAACTTCCTCGGCACTCTCTTCACTGGTGCAGCAGCCGATCCTATGGTGTCCGTAGCTGTCGCAGCGGGCTTCTTCACTGGCGTAGCTTTGGCAGCTGATGTTGCTGTTTTCGCTGGGGCCGTTGTGGTTGATCCAGCCACTTTGGAGATGTTTCCGACGCTCGCTGGAACAGATTAGTCCATGTCCTTCACATTATATGCTAGCTTACACTGGAGTGCAGCATTCTGCTGCTTGAGCTGGTCTACGGCTGACATTTTGGAATAGCAACGTGCACTTTAGAAGATGAGGCTGAATGATCAAGTATCGCAATAACAGCAGCAAGCGTGGATGGGCTTTAGCAGTCCAGATGTTGTACCAGGAAATCGCGTTCTAGACATCATGAACGCGCTTCCTCATACGTCATGCACCCTTCACATCCTTGCTGTTGTGGAGGTACGAAAGTGGCCCAGGCCGTGGAGATCCTGTTTTTCGGACACGGGACGATCGCCGTTACATGGGCGGCCTTGACCCTGACGTTGTTAGATCGATCACAACACCAAACTGGCGTCTGTCAAACCAAGGTGCGCGAAAATAGGTACTAGAAATGATGGAACAGATAGGAGCCATCTTGTCATTGACGATGAACACTTGTTGCTGCATGTTAGCTAGCACACCATGAAAAAGCAAAAGAAAAGCAAACAGCCGAGGTCAAGATTGTTTTGAACATTTCATCATTCATGAAAACTACCCAGAGGCAAGTCTACGTAAGATACATTTCGGGATATCCATTACTCGTGATGCATAAAGTACCACCACTCTAAGACGCCATCGAAGATTAAGCTCCGTCCATCATGCAAGTGAGGTGTAGAAAGTGAAAGAAAGCCATGACACATGAAAGGGATATCAGAGCGCCGATCAAACTTTTCGAAACCAGCCAAGACGGGCGATGCGCTTAGTCAACCTCCTCCATGGCGCTCTCGCCAGCCGCTGCTGGTGCCTCGGCGGAGGCGTCGGTCTTCTCTTGCTCGGTCTCGACCTCCTCGTCGACGTTCAGGCCAAGAGAAACGAGCTTGTGGATGCGCTCAGCGTACTGAACGGGCTCGTCAATGGTGAAACCAGAGACAAGAAGCGAGGTCTCGAAGAGAAGCAGGGTGATGGACTTGACGGTGCGGTCATCCTCACCATCAGCCTCAACCTTGCGCTTGAGCTCCTTGATGATAGCGGACTTGGGCGAGATCTCGAAGGTCTTCTTGGAAGACATGTACGAGCTCATGGAAGTATCACGGAGAGCCTGAGCCTTCATGATACGCTCCATGTTGGCTGACCAACCGAATTGGCCGGTACGGATAGCGCAAGGTGAGCCGACAAGCTTGTGTGAGACAACAACCTTCTCGACCTTGTCACCGAGGACAGTCTTGAGGCTCTTGGCGAGACCCTCGAACTCCTTCTCCTCGGCCTCACGCTCCTTCTTCTCCTCCTCGGACTCCTCAAGCTCGAAGTCCTTGGTGATGTCGACAAGTTTCTTGCCGTCGAACTCCTTGAGCTGAGTCATGGCGTACTCGTCAATGGGGTCAACGAGGAAGAGAACCTCGAAGCCCTTGTCCTTGAGGGTGTCAAGGAAGGGCGACTTCTGGACAGCCTTGAGAGACTCGCCAGTGATGTAGTACATCTGCTTCTGGTGCTCGGGCATGCGGGTGACGTAGTCGGTAAGGGAGGTCTGCTCCTCACCGGACTTGGTGGAGTTGAAGCGGAGGAGCTTGGCGAGGGAAGCGCGGTTCTGCGAGTCCTCGTGGATACCAAGCTTGATGTTCTTGCCGAAGGCAGAGTAGAACTTGTCGAACTGCTCACGGTCCTCGGCGATCTCGTTGAAGAGCTCAAGGGTCTTCTTGACAATGTTCTTGCGGATGACCTTCATGATCTTGTTCTGCTGGAGAGTCTCACGAGACAGGTTGAGGGGAAGGTCCTCGGAGTCGACGACACCCTTGACGAAGCTGAGCCACTCGGGGATCAGGTCAGTAGCATCATCGGTGATGAAGACACGGCGGACGTAGAGCTTGATGTTGTTCTTGGTCTTCTTGGTCTCGAAGAGGTCGAAGGGAGCGCGCTTGGGAACGAAGAGGATGGCACGGAACTCGAGCTGACCCTCAACAGAGAAGTGCTTGACGGCAAGGTGGTCCTCCCAGTCGTTGGAGAGGGACTTGTAGAATGAAGCGTACTCCTCAGTGGTGATGTCTTGAGGGTTGCGAGTCCAGATGGGCTTCTGCTTGTTGAGCTCCTCCTCCTCGATCTTGGACTCCTTGACCTTCTTGGTCTTCTTCTCCTTCTTTTCCTCCTCCTCGTCGTCGACCTCCTCGACCTTGGGCTTCTTCTCGTCACCCTCGGCAGTCTCCTCGGCAGCGTCCTCATCCTCGACCTCCTTCTCGGTCTCCTTCAGGACGTGAAGGTAGATGGGGTATGAGATGAACTCGGAGTGCTTCTTGACGACCTCCTTGATCTTGGACTCGTTGAGGTAGTCCATCTGCTCATCCTTGAGGTGGAGGATGATCTTGGTACCGCGGCCGATCTGCTCGCCCTCGGTGTCCTCGGTGATCTTGAAGGTACCACCAGCGCTGGACTCCCAGACGTACTGCTCGTCATCGTTGTTCTTTGAGACGACGGTGACGCGGTCAGCGACAAGGTATGCGGAGTAGAAACCAACACCGAATTGACCAATCATGGAGATGTCGGCACCGGCTGACAGAGCCTCCATGAACTGCTTTGTGCCTGAGCGGGCAATGGTACCCAGGTTGTTGATGAGGTCGGCCTTGGTCATACCGATACCGCTATCTTGGATGGTGAGGGTCTTGGCCTCCTTGTTGGGGATGATGTCGATGCGGAGATCCTTGCCGCTGTCGAGCTTGCTTGGGTCTGAGAGGGCTTCATATCGGATCTTGTCGAGGGCGTCGGAGGCGTTGGAGATGAGTTCTCGCAGGAAGATCTCCTTGTTTGAGTAGACGGTGTTGATGATGAGGCCGAGCAGCTGAGAGATCTCAGCCTGGAACTCGAAGGTCTCCCCAGACATGGTGGCGGTTGTGTGGGAGTAGACTGTAGGAGAGAGAGAGTCAGACAGAGCTCGCAATGGGTGCCTCGATGCAGTGCAGCCGACTAGGCTGTGTGAGTGTGGGGAAGACGTACAGTTAGGCGGGGTAGTTCGACTTGCTGGGCTCTTCTGTAGCGTGTGGTGAAGAGCAGACTAGAAAGACGAGGTTGTCTGTGTAGTTGAAATGGGAGAGAGCAATTCGATGAAGAAAAAGTAGTGGGAGGCGTCGAGTTTGGGGCTGATATAGCCTTTGGTGGAGCTCGAGAATCTTCTAGACAGAGCGGCAGAACTGCAGAGAAGGCCGCGGCGGAGCCAATCAGGGTGGGGCAGCCCTTCCAATTGTGTCTCACCGCCAAACGCGCCTTCCCCGGCAACGCCTAGTAGCGAGGGGCAGAACAATCGCGACTTCTGCATCTGCCTGCCTGTCCCCGCCAGCTTCGCGCAAACGCTCGAGCAGCTTGCTTCTAGAAACCTCTGCTCTGCTACTGACACTGTCCGTATCAAGCACTGAAATACTCACCACGCCCGCCATGGCTTCCCGTTTCGCGTGGCTCAAGTGCCAGCTCGCGCTCGAGCTCCAGAGCATCAGCCTCGCGCAGCCTTGTACAGCCTCACCCATGGCTAACACTCCGTAGCTGCCTTGCGAAGCACCGCCCGTCCCGTCCGATCCGATGCGAGACTCAGACATCGTCTACAACAGAGGGGACACAAGGCCTTTGAGAGGATATGTTGGCGACAAATGGGACACGCTTTCAGGCGACCATCTGGTTGAACAACGCTACAAGCTGGTCGACGCGCTTCCGTGATGAATAATACTCAGAATCACACAGACAGTCAGATTGGTCCGCTTCGACTCATGTTTCTCTCACTATCGTTGGGAACAGAAAAGTCGTATACAAGAGCGGAAGAAATCATGTCAGTCACAACCCACATGCCCTTCCATACGAGTGCTGGTGTACAGTCATTCATTCGTCGTTTGATACGTGTATTCATATAGCCATCTCTTAGATAAAAGTCCTCATAAACTCTCCCAGCGCCATGATAGCCATGGCCTGGCCATATGGCATACTGGTGATGGCGATATCCTTGTAATGCTGCAAATCGTGTCCCATACCAGTTCCAAAACTTGTCTGCTCCAGCTCACCCTCCGCGCTGATGCAACCCATGACGGCCTTGATCGCCTTGACTGCGCTCTGGAGGTATACGTCTCCGCTAATATATCGTTTCCGACACGCCTTGAGCATACCGTATGCAAAACCTGCTGTGGCCGACGCCTCTTCGTAGCTGCCTTCTGAGACAGGAATATCAAGAAGTGTGCGCCACATGCCGTTCTCGCCTTGCAACTTCAGCAGTGCTTGACATTGCGACTCAAGGATGCCGATGAGGAATTGACGGAGGGGGTCTGTCTCCTTGAGGTCAAGCAACTCAATGAAATCCGGAATCGCAATCGTCAACCACGAGTTACCACGCGCCCATCGCGCGCGCGCAAAGTTGTGGCCGACCTCCAATCCACCCTTGTCCTCCCACTTCCAGCCGTGGAAGAACAGGCCTGTGGATGTGTCGCAGAGGTACTGGCAGTGCAGGATGAATTGGCGCTTTGCTTCCTCTACGTATTCTGGTCTGTCGAGCGTAAGACCAATCTTTGCGAGAGGCAGTGCGCTCATCATAAGCGTGTCGTCCCATAGTTCATCCTTGTTGAACGAGTTGTACGTCTCGTGTTGGAACCCGCCAAACTTTGTGCGGGGCAGTCCATGCATCACCCACTCAGCCCACGTGTCTAACCAAGGCACAAACGTCTTGTTTCCTGTCTCTTCATACAGATATGCCAATGTGAGGAACGGGCTCATGGTGTTGATATTCTTGGTTGTACCCTTGCTGAGCTGCTTCTCGAACCAGCCCTTCATAATGTCCATGGTTGCAGTGCTGCCCGTCAGCGTGTAGTAGTGCCACAGACCATAAAGACCTATGCCATGTGTCCACTCCCAGCCGTCCCAGCCTTTTGTGTCGATAACGCGGCCATCGTCGAGTTTCAGGAGGAACTCGCCCGTTGTGTCGTGAATGTTGATCAGGTTGTGTGTTAGAAGGAGGATCTTCTCGTCTATTTGGCCTTTGGTCAGGCCGTGAACTGTGAGTGTAGACATGGTGGACGCCTTCGTTGAGGTTTATCGCGTTCGCAGAAGGTGTTTGGTGGGCTTGTCGCAAGCAATCGAAATCTGGAGCAAGACAGGCAAGAGTTGAAGGAGGAAGGTATCGAAAAGACCAGATGTTATCACACGCGTAGTCTGCCAAGTGGGTATTACATAGAGCCCGTCGGTCACACGCGTCGGTAGAGCTCAACCCAGATACAGAGCGGGGAGCGAAAACTGGGGAAGTCTCAGGGTCCTCAACCGCGTCTATTACATCTGAACTGCATGCAGCTGCCAGATTCCATCCAGATCTCGTGCCCTGTTGCACCGACTCGTCCATCTCTACCCCGACTGGGAGCTGGGCACACGTGGTGTTGCTCCAGCAGATGGGTTCCTGGAAGACGCGGCTCTTTTCTCGTGTCAAGCATCAAACACCAAGACCTTTGACGCCCACTGCTCAAACCTCCCAAGTCCACTGCTAAGATCCCAAAATGGGATCTCTGCCGCACTCGCACTGCATTACGCCGACGCTCGTTGAGGACTATACCGATAGCACCGACGTCAAGGGTCACCAATCGCTTATGTCTTGGAGAGCCGGAAGGCACCGTGGTGGGAAGGAGAACCGCCGTGTAGGAGCTTGGCCGCCTGACTCGACTCTTCCTGGGAAGGAGAACCGCCACCGACGATGCAGGCGGACGAAATCTTCCACCAGCCGCCGCATGCCAGGGAACAAAGCTTCGCATGCCACTCGCACGAGCCTGACCCATCACATGCATTCCCTCTCACACCCGAGGGGCGGTTCGGGATCATCTATGCCGATATTTTACCAGACTTGGACCATTGCCAAGTGGTGGCGCTCTCCACACTGCTTGATCCTTCACAAGCACTCCACAAGACTCCACAAGCTGTTTGGACGGCACCGTGGCGGGGTTGGCGAACCCCAGAGACTAGCGACTCAAGATGCAGCATTGGCGCCCACAGGGTCGCGCATGCAGCACGCCTTTCCAGTATGCTACGTCAAACCGGGATACGGAGACAAGGAGAAAGGAGATAACAACGACTCATCAATATTGGCTAGACATTGAGGTGCAGGTTCTTATCCCAGGATTTGCGGAGTAGCCTGCCAGCATGGGGTAGCTGGAGGCCGGGGAACGCTTGGACGGACAATCTAAAATCGGGTAGAAATATCAACTCGACCGCTCTTCCACTTTTTACCAGCTCACTGCGAGTCCTGGGGTCTTTCTTTTGAACCTCATTCTCTTCCGCTGTCAATTTCTCGGAAGCCTATTTTTCAAGATGGCCACCGCCAGAGCCAGCGCCGATGGCGTACACAACGCACCCGAGACTGTTCGTCAATCGGACGATAAGAAGGACATCACACAGGTCGAGCGCGTACTCTCCGTCGGAGACGAGAAAGGCGAGCATGCGGACTACAACCGTATTGACCAGGAAGTTGCCAAATACGCAGGCGCTTCTGAAGTCTTTGTCTCTGAAGAAGAGAACAAGCGGTTGAAGAAGATGATTGATCGGCGTGTACTGCCCATTATGGTCATCACGTACTTTTTGCAATCGCTAGATAAGGGTACCATGTCCGCTACCTCAATCATGGGTATCCGTGACGATGTTCCTGGCCTTCTTTCCAAGGAGACTGTGAGTTGCAAAGTCTGTGGGCACTAGTAACATGTACTGACTCGTGACAGTTTGGGTGGCTCACCACCTGTATCTACCTCGCTGTGCTTGTCGTCGAATACCCAACCAATTGGATTCTCCAACGAGTACCAGTCGCCAAATACCTTGGTTTCAACATCCTCGCATGGAGTACCGTACTTGCCTGCCACGCCCTCTGCTTCAGCTTCCCTGCGCTCGTTGCTGTCCGAACACTCCTCGGTATCTTCGAGGCCGTTTGCCAACCGGCTTTCTTGATCATGACTGGTCTTTGGTACAAGCGTGAGGAGCAGGCTCAGATCGTTACTTACTGGTACATGATGAGTGAGCGGAATACAGTCAACCTCATAGAACAACGACTAATCTCTTCATCTAGACGGTGCCCAACAGATCGTCGGTGGTCTTCTCGCATACGCCTTCTCTACAATCAGACATCCTAGCTTCAAGGCGAACCCCGGAAATGCGCCGATTAGGTCATGGCAAGCCATCTTCATCTGTTACGGCTGTATCTCTTTCCTCTGGGGACTCTATGTCATTTTTACACTTCCTGATAGCCCTATGCGCGCCAAGTGCTGGTCTGAAGAAGACAAGAAGCTCATGGTTGAGCGTGTCCGCTCTAACCAGACCGGTCTCCAAAACAAGAAGTTCCGTGCCTACCAGTTCAAGGAGGCTCTCCTCGATCCCCAGACCTACTGCTACATGGGTATCCAGATCTTCACTACCCTCCCCACTTCTGGACTCGGTGCCTTCTACAACATCATCATTCAGGATCTCGGTTTCGATGTCCTCCAGGTTCAACTGCTCGCCATGGTTCTTGGTGTAGTCATTATTGCCACACTCATGGGCTCAGCCTGGATGGTCAAGAAGACAAAGCAAAACCTGTTGACCATGGCCGTTTTCATGATCCCAGCTTTTACTGGCACAATCGTCATCATGACTGTCAAGAACACTAACAACGCTACCAAAGCTGGTCTACTGATCAGTTATTGGATCATCTTCACCTTCTGGGCTGCCCAAGGTCTCGGCATGTCCATGCTGACGCGAAACGTCGGAGGTCAGACCAAGAAGTCTGTCTGCATCACCATGAACTTCTTTGCTTGGTGTGCCGGTAACGCCATCGGTCCCAAGGTCTTCTTTGACGGCGACCCACGCTACCTCAAGTCGCTCTCTATCCATCTCGGATGTTATTCTGCGCTACTTTGTGTCATTGCCTTCCTGAGATTCAACCTCATGCTACGCAACAAGAAGAAGGACCGCGAGTTTGGAAAGGAGATTAGCAACGCTCACGGATTTGACGATCTGACGGACAAGGAGAATCCCAACTTCCGTTATGTTTACTAGGAAATATGTTGTTATGATGGGACGAATCAAGAGCACTGTATGCTGTTGTAGCTACTGTAGCACTTATCATACCAGACAAAAATTGCATAAGCGATGTTCTTGTTACTCATCCCAAGCTTGCTCCGCCTACTACTTAATATGCTTATCCCATAATTACTTACCTCTGCATTTCTCATTGGAAGAAACTTTCCTCGTCGACCGCTGCTTGCGATTTTACGCAAGAGAAACACGTCTCTCTAAAAAGCAAAGTCGTCCGTTTGCTCGCGCGATCGACAAAGTACCAAATATTTGACAGGCGTTGAGCATTCGTTCTCACATGTTCGGAACGAAAGCAGCCACGTGCTAACGCGAATGCTACGTGATTGGGGCGTTGGCTTGGCCTGCCCAAGTTCTAGTGACTCTGTTACATCCTCATTCTGCGTTGACACCTTTCCTGGTGGCTACCGTGCTACAAAGTAAACTTGAATGACGCCTTCATAGAAGAGTTGGTCTATATGGCTGGTACGTGAACTCCCAGAAGCCGCTGCAATATGGGAGATGTTGCTAATTTTCACGAGAAGTCAATAGAGCGATGTCGCTTGATTGCCTTGGAGCTATCGCACTACCTAAGAAAGCCTTGTTTGGGGCCAAGTCAATAGGTTGAAGCTTTTCACGGCGGCTGTCCCAATACATAGATTCCAAGGTCCCATGGATATCGAACCTGATATCATTGCGCCCATATTGTTACGCGTGGACACCCTGCTTGTTTTGGCGTCCAGAAGTCCGGACTGTGGAGTGGGATTTGGAACGAAAATGTTTCGTGTATATATTTTGCTCGTCATATCAGCCTTTAGGCAGACACACTGGTATCATCGGCTGTTCCACTGATATTTGTCTGGTATGGCAGCTCCTATCATCGCTTCGCGTCATCGTCTACATGCCCTTCCCTATCCAACATCTCGTTCTTTTTAGCACTCCCCTCTAACCCCGCTAAAATTGCCTTGTCCTCTCCCGGAATGCGCATCTCAAAAGTATCCCTCACGACCGCATATTCATAGTACCCACATCGAGCAATCGGCTCCGTCTTCCTCACATCGATCTTGCCATCAGTCAACACGCGCTCATCGATGTGCACACCGATTACCTTCCCTATCACCACGTCTGCTGACCCCATAGGCGGGTTTCCAGGAAGTCGCAACGTAGTGTAGTACTCGCACTCGAACTTCACCGGACTGCGCATCACCATTGGGATCATCATTTCCTTCCTGCCCTCGCCACTATTGCCAACTACAACAACTCCACTCAGCTTACTGTCCTCCTTTTCTACACCCGCCTTCTCAAACTCGTCAACACCATATTCTTCTTGCACTGCACTCCTGTTTACTTCCTCCCTTAGCTCATACGTCGCTAGATTCCAAATAAACTTTCCTGTAGCTTCGACGTTGCGGACAGTATCTTTCTGTGAGTTGCTAGGCGTTTGATTGGCGCTAAACATTACGTATGGCGGGTCGAAGGTGAGATTGTTGAATTGAGAGTAGGGAGCTAGATTTGCGTGGCCATCAGGTGAGAGTGTCGATATCCAGCCTATCGGTCGGGGAAGGACGCATGCCTAGGTTGGGCTTAGTGGCTGCTAAGAGAGTTTTGAGTGTACATAATTCTGATAGATGAATACTGTTTCTGATTGTCTTCATGGCGTCTGGAAATCTGGCAAAGCATACTTACTTTGAATGGATCGTACGGTAATCCGTGGTCTTCTTTTCCAGGTTGGTAGAACATTGCAACTTCGTTGACGTGTACTTCCCTACAGCTATCTCTCGTGATTCGCTTCTTTTATACCTAGGAGATCTGTAAAGCCGTATTTATCGACCTGGAAGTTTCCGATCATCGAATCATCCTCAGGTAGACGTTATGTGCTTGTCCAAAGCCGAACCACCTGTTTGGGTCTTTGTCTGCCAGTTAACGGGTAGACTGCGGGGAACCATTACCTGTCGGAATCGGCAAACATAGGCGGCATGTGCCTCTACCCCCCACTAATACCGACACCATCACTTTTGCAGTAAAGGTCCTTTCCAACAAAATTGCCACATTGAGACGAGTACATTGACCATGTATCTATACACATCTTCTCAAGTGTCTACAAGCCTCAGCTGTCGAACTCGCCAACAGCGCAAAACCCCGACCTAACACAAACAATGGCATCAGAAACCATCCTGATAACAGGCGCATCCTCCGGTCTCGGTCTTGCCTTCGTACAACACTATGCTTCCTTGCCATCACGGCCCAACATAATAGGCATCGACAACCAATCCTTCCCAATCCAAATTGACAATCAACAAGGGACCAATATTCAATTCCATCAGATTGACATAACATCAACTTCCAAGATCCAAGACCTTGCATCGATACTCAGCTCCATACCCATCAACTTAGTCCTTCACTGCGCCGGTATCCGGGGTCTTGTTCCACGTATCGTGGCTCATGAGAAAGATAGCAACAGGGTCGTCGCGGCAGCAGAAACACTGGAAGCCATGGATTACCCGACCATGATGAAAACCCTTGAAATCAACACCTGGGGTACTTTCAACGTTATCAGATCGTTCTTGTCAAACCTCCAACTAGCCGCTGTTACTCAAAGCTCATCAAAACCTAAGGTCGTCATTTTGTCATCTCGAATGGGCTCGATATCCGCGAACACGGCGGGTGGCGGGTATGCATATCGTGCCAGCAAGGCGGCCCTGAATGCGGTAGTGAAGAGCTTCGTCATCGATATACCGGATGTGCAGTTTCTGATGCTGCACCCGGGACGGGTGGAGACGGGACTGGTGGAGTGGAAGGAGGAAGGAGCAATTGGGGTGGGGGAGAGTGTGGGGGATTGTATGCGGGTTTTGACGAGTATGACCGAGGAAGGATGGGAGAGTGGGAGATTGGTCGACCGATTCGGCGTGACAATCCCCTGGTAGCAAGGATACTAGATCGAAATATGAAGGGCACGCTGCATTCACCTGTGTATCTCTGCATTTGTATGGTGTATCTTGAAATCAAATCGCTGCGTCTGTCCTGCCGCTTTTGCTCATTTATCCGTACATTGTGATCTCCATCTCATATTTCTGTCTATGACGCCTTGGTATACATGAAAGAAAATAGAGCCCTATTTGTGCGCGATATATGCTCCCACATCATCCGCAGACATGGACCGCCTTCGCCGATACAGCTCCAGTGGCAGTTTATGCACCAAGCTGCGCGGATGTTGCCAATGGATCGTAAGGGCTATAATTGATGCCACCAGTGGTTGTGCCTACGAGCTTGATAGACGTAACCGACGGATCAAAGGGAATGTAGTTTATGCCGCCAATGGTTGTGCCAGTAGGCTTGACAGCCGCCGTCGATGGGTCATAAGGACCATAGTTGTTGCCGCCAGTCAAAGTCGCAGGCAAAGACATGACCTTCGTTACCGTTATGACCGTGGTGATTGTGATAGCCATGGAAGCTGCCTCTGAAGCCATCGCGGAGAGATGTCCAGTGTAGGAAGAGGTGAGTGTTCTCGAGGCGGAAGGCTCGTACGGGCTGTAATTATCACCACCAGTCCGAGTCGCAGGCAGCGTCATGATTTTCGTTGTCGTGACGATAGTTGCTATTAAAATCACTTCAGGGTCTGTCTTGGAAACCGGCGCTGGAAGACGCTTGCCGTAGAAAGAGGCAAGAGTGGTTGGGGTTGGAGCAGATGTTGACGGGTCGTATGAGCCGCAGTTAGTACCATGAATCATTGTTGTAGGCAAAGCCATGAGATTGTTCGAAGTGGTGATGGTAGTCGTTGCAACTGGAATGACAGCTTGCTTTGCAGTCGTTGTGGAGTTGAGGACTGTTTGAGCTATCTCGGATGCGAGGCTGTTCTTCGGGAGATCACTACCGGCGCCGTTCTGGTAAACTCTCACGGAATTGATAAGATAGAAAACTTCCTTGAGCTTATCAGGGTTAGCTGCAACGAAGTGGTTACAAGAGTCGTCGTGGGTTTCTGCAGCGCAACCTGAGTAGCCAGCCCAGGTATCGCCACCCGCATTCTTGCCACAGAAGGTAATGTTGACAATCTTTCCATGTCAGTGAGTACTGGCACGAACGAATACGGGAATACGTACGATCTTCATCTTCTCCAACGTCTTCTGGATGTCACAGCTGTCCCCAACAAAGTTCATCACAGGCTTGCCCCATCTGCTAGGATCGGGATGATCACCGTCCAAGCCCGAGGGCTCACTGCCTCTAGCGAAGAACCAGGCCTTGATGCCACTATTGCTGACCTCTGCTGCCCAGACTCCGCCGTGGCGATCATTGAAGGCCTGGCCGAAGGAGCCGTCAGGACCATTGACTCCACAGTTGTGACCACTCGAACACTCAAGGTCGTCGCGCGTCTGTCCGGTACCGCCATTATCCCGCATCTTACATGGCATCTGAGCAGTGTGGATGCTGAGCTCGTTCCAACTATTCTTTGAGACGCCTTCGATAATGTCGAACTCGGAGTACCAGTCCTCTTGGTCAGCATTATCGTGTAGAAGCCAGCTGCACATGGTTAGCTGCTGCATGTACGACGAATCTCACAGAGAACAGGAAGCGCGAAATGCCTTGAACGCCTTGGAGGTAATTAACTGTGGTTATTCCAGGTGGGCAAGCTTACAGAGCAGGCCACATGCCACATCCACTAGGTAGATGATCAAAATCGGCAATGAAGAGCCCATTATCAAACATCTGAACTCCCTCCAATCGTATGCTCTTGCGGCCATAGCCCTCACCAGGCTCCTTTGGAGTGAGTACTTGGTTTGTGTCGACCCCAAGACGAACCTTGCCGTCCTCGATACGGGCAAGTCCAAGTTCAGTTGCTTCTTCCTTGGAGATATAGAAAGCGAGACCATGAGTGAACTTCTCCCAGCCGTTGTAGAAACGGAAGGAGCTATCGTCGAAGAAATTACTTGCATCGTATGTCGCCTTGAGCTCGTAGCCCGTGGCGAGGGAAGCCACTGAGGCGACAGTGAGGAGGGTTTGTAAGATAGCCATCGTTGAATACTCCTGTGGAAGCTGGAGAAGGATAAGAAGAGGAACGCGAGAGTGACGAGGAGGTCTGACGCAGAAAGTTTGAATCATATAGACTATTTACCCGTGCACATACCGTCTCGCCTGGTGAGAGAAGGTAGCGGGAAGGAGCGACTCAGGGTAGTGAAGTGAGAGAAACCATATTGAACTGACACTCACAATACCTTGTCTTTACCGTGCTGTGAAGCGAATTATAGGTGATATATCCTAGGCTGATTCATATCTGACTTTTGCACCATCCAAGGTCGGTATTAGAGATGTCTTCAGGGTTGAAGATGGCATCTGAGTAAGAATCGTATCCTGCGATAGACTGGTAGACAGCGTGGTGCTACTCTTAACATAAAAGACCCGCTCATTACAGAGTGCGCTGGGTATTGATGGTATTTCGAGAACGCTGGATGTGGGCAACCACAGCCGGCACCAACCGCAATTCTTCTATAAGTCAACGTTTGGTAGCAGCTTTGAAGCGCACGCTCAATATCGATAGGCATGAAAACCAGGAATATGACTTGATGCCACTTGCGAAACGACTGAGCACGCCGATATCATGCTTGATCACCCACCGTCTTGCTTATATCATCCTCACGAGCATCGGCCAGTGTGCCTTGTTCGCCTATTCTTGACCTCGCGCCCGAGATCTTGCCCGCAGTCTCCAGTCCTCCCTCGATACCCTGTACTAATCCGTCTAATGCATCGAAGATATCGGCTTGTTGGTCCCTCGCCTCGTTCAGCCTGTCCAGTCCAGCCTGACCCTTTCCCTTGCTCTTCCTCGGTATCTCAACGCCTTGAATCCGGAGCATGTACCCTTGATCTGGCGCATCCTCATCGAACGACGGAGCTGTTCGCACATCCGTTTCCGTTATCTGCCACTCCGACGAAAGCGACTGCGCATCTGCGATGGTTCGTCCGTCCGCCGCGACATCGATTATGAGGTAGTGTTCCTTGACACCCGGTATAGGTGGGGGAAGCGGTGACTCGACTGGTGAGGCTTGCTCGTCTCCTTCTTCACTTCCCTGGTTGCGTCGTCTCTCACCACCACCTGGCGCATCCTGTGGGAGGTACTTTGTATCATCCAGCCCTAAGCCTCGCATCGATGCGGCGGTTATGATGGTCGGGTCGTCGTCTGCAAAGACATAGTGTGTATACGGGTGGTAGTGCTCGCCCGACGTTGTATCTTCGATTAGAGTAAAGAAAGGTCGGAAGTTCGGTGGTGGTAGCAACGGCTGCTCGAAACTAGGCTCGGGATACGGTACATCGTCATCGTCCTCTGGCGCATCGCCAGGCTGCTGCTGCTCGCGGAGCTCGTCGTCGGGAGAATGTTTGGCGCGCTGCAACGGTGTTGATCGTGGAGAGTACGACGCGTGAATATCTGAGAGGGGTTCTGTAGTGTCGAGGTTGTTAGACATGTTGTGGGGATTGATGGAAGGCTGGAGTTAACGGAGTTCTGGGAGCTCTAGTAAGATGCGTGATCGATCGATAAGGGACGTGGTCCATGCACACTACCCTACCAGCATCAAGGATACGTAGGTATGAACCAAGTACTGAAGTACAGAGAAAGTCGCAGTGTGAATAGGCTGAGGTATGTAATGAAATCCTTAGGGTATCCAAATCCAAACGCCGATGGTAACAGTACTGTATAATCCAAGTATCGCTTCGAATGTGAAGCACTACTGCCCCAACTCCCAGCCTATACGCGAGAAGCATGTCGGTAACGAGCCTCTTCAGAGATGTCCGTCATCAGTGCTAAGGTCTGAAGGCTACAGTGGGCTTGTATCGGGTTCTTGCGGCTGTGTTGGGGTTTCTGTGGCCGTTGGCGCGTCTTGACTCTTCGACTTGAAGGCTGGGAATGCAAGTCAGCGGGTGTTCTGTGAGCTTCGAGCTGTACGTACGCTGACGACACATGGGACACTTCTCTAGAGAGCTCTCTTGCTTGAGCCAGGAGAAAATACAGTGCTGAGACACGTTAGTTGTGGGCGCAACAGGTACTCTCTGAGGATGTAGGCACACCATGTGAAAGGAATGGTTGCACTCTCCCAGCACTATATCATGTTAGTCTTCATCGACCCTCGTCATCTTCAAACGTACATAGTGGACACTCGTCTCCAGGAAACTTGCACTTGGAGCAAGTGCTATCGTAAGGGTTGCGACAGATACCACAGACATCGTCATCTGGCATGTCCCAACGCCATGCGGCGACAGCATTCCATTCCCGTATAGTGACTTTCATCCTGTCCTTTGTCGCGCAATGGGTAGAACACGAAGTTGGCGCGCAGATTGAGTGGGACGCAGATCAACAGCACCAAAACATGCTGAGGCGGCAGATTTACGGCGGTGAGGGGCCACGGCGCGTTAATTCCGCTACCAGTAGGGTCTGAGCTCAAGCTGGAGCTTCCAGCGTCATCATAATCACAAATTCGTAGACCATACAAATGCCGTTATCCAAACGCGTAATGCTATCATCTTCTGAATCGATCTTTATATTCGAGCGCGAAAAAACGCGTCACATGATGTTATACTCGACTAAAATTGCGTGCGCGTAAGGTAGATGGCACTTCGACAGATTTGCTGAGTTCCCCGCACTAATCTTGAAGCTTACTGCGGACCCTCCTCTGTACAGAGGATGCAGATAGGGAAGCTTGACCTCGCCGTCTACTCCACATATCTTCGCTCCTTCTTCTTTCTCGCCGACCAGGACACCTTTTCTAGTTCACTGTATCCACCGTCCAGCTTCCAATATGTTCGTCCTACGCTTCCGCTGCTCTTTACGCCCACTCTCTTCCACTCCCTCTGTCCGCTTCCCCATAGCTGCAAGCAGTAGACGGACAATGTCTTCACACCACCACTTCTCTTCTTATCTCGTCTCACCATCCGAGCTCAATTCAGCTCTGAAGCATAATGCTAGCAAGCTTTCTTCAGAGCCGCGCATCGTCCCGCTTTGCGCATCCTGGTTTTTGCCCAACGATGGTAGGAATGGGTACAATACTTTTATTGAAGAGCGTATCCCGCGCGCTCGTTTCTTCGATCTCGACGCCGTCAAGGACATTCACTCGCCATATCCGCACATGCTTCCTTCTGCCGAAGACTTCGCAATCGCAATGAGACACCTCGGTATACGCCGTGAAGACAGCGTAGTCGTCTATGATACAAAGGAGCTGGGTATCTTCTCAGCCCCAAGAGTTGGTTGGACGCTACGAGTCTTCGGACATCCAAATGTGCATGTGTTGAACAACTTCCGCAAGTGGATCGAACAAGGGTTCCCAACGGAGAGCGGAGAGCCAAAGGAGGTTGCGCCGACCGAGTATGCAGTGCCGAAGTTGGAGGAAGAGAGGATCGTCGCCTTTGAGGAGGTCAAGGATATCGCAAGAGAATTGGGCAAGGAGGGTGCGGATGAAGTGCAAATATTGGACGCGAGGAGCTTAGGCCGGTGGAAGGGCATTGATCCGGAGCCTAGAGAAGGTATGCTTCTAGCTGCATAAGAGACACTACAACATGGTGAAGCTGACTCTACTAGGCCTTTCATCTGGGCACATTCCGCACTCCACCTCTGTCCCCATCACGGACCTTCTCGATTCGAAAGACAAGACGCTTCTCCCTGCCTCCGAACTCCAAGCTATCTTCAAGTCCAAGGGGGTGGATCCGTCTAAGCCAATCATAAACAGCTGTGGTACAGGCGTCACAGCGGCAATCATCGACGCTGCATTGTCAGAAGCTGGCTTCCCGGCACAACAGAGGCGCTTGTATGATGGCAGCTGGACCGAGTGGGCGCAGCGCGTGAAGCCTGGCGAAGGTCTCATCCGGAAGACGGAGTAGATTGGTACGTAGACTGGTTGGAGACGTGATGAGTTTCCTTAACAAGTTGATACCCCTTTTCTTTCGCGTATATTCTTTGTATCCTCGAATGCATGATATGATTCCGACTTTATGCCAATGATGAAGTATGCATAACTTTCTTGCTGGCCTAATTCGTTGTATTCGTCAATGTGATGCAATTTTGTGATTTTTCATGCTCATCAACAACGTCTACTCCTACAGGAGTAACAGCTGTTGAATATATTCAACGAGATTCGTTTTGGTATAAAAATAGTATCGAAACACCAAAGGCATGGGGTATACGCAGAGATCTAGATCCGACCACCAGAGAGATTGTCGTATCCAAATGAAAGATATGCAAGAAGCTCACCATTCGCGCAAGTGACGCACAGAGGAACGGCAGAACATCGGAGAGTTGACTTCTCAAGACTGTGATGACTGAGAAGCCTGTAATGCTTGCGGTGTCTGGGATGATGGACAGGGCTGTTTCGGGTCAAGGTCTGTGTCCGGGTGTAAGGAGTCAGTGTATGTCTAACACGTTGCTCGCCCATAGACACTTACATCTATTGAAGAATTCCCTGACCTGTGGATTGGCACCCCCCAGAGGTTTCTTTGGAAGTGCCACAACGTCGAGACCCTTGAGCGAGCGTGCTCTACTGACTGTTCAAAATATTAGTCTATATATTACAGCTCTATCAATGAAGCGCAACTTACGAGCGACGTAGAGTTGGCTTGCCTCAAAAGCCTCCTTGAGATCTACAATAACGCGATCCAGAGTCATGCCCTGCGACTTGTGCACAGTAATGGCATAGCCTGCGACAAGCGGAATCTGTGCCCTCGATAACAGGCTGAGCTTGCCCTCATCTCCATGCTCGTCAACATTTCCGAGTTCGTTGCAAGGACAGTCCGCGTAGATGACCTTAGTTCGGCCGTTGTCGAACCGAACAACTGGCCATGGCTGGCGGCGGTTCCGATTGGCGTATTCTTTAATTTGCCCTTGGGCATATTTGGCATGAGTACCTTTGAGCTCACCGTAATCGTCTTTGCCCTCTGCTGCGCGGGGTAGCTTGTTAGGGTCAAATTCCTCAAATCCGATGATCAGGCCTTGTGAGCCGTTTACAAGGCCGGCGTCGGGTTCAAGATTGGCCTGTAACACCACGCGCATGCCCTCCTTCAAATGCACAATAGCTTCGTAGCGATGCTCTCTCTGTGGGACAGTCAGTGATATTCGGACATTCGCAGAGGTCGTCATACTAGTTGTTTGAGAGTACCATCTTCTTTCTGTTCACAGTATTTTTCCAAAGATGTGTCTTCGCGATCATTCCATACGAAGTTATCTAAACACTTGTAGGCGAGTTGCTGTGAAGGAAGCTTCGCAATGTTTTCTTTGTTTATACGGTCGACATCCCAGCGCTTGGAGAATAGTCGGATGGCGCCTTCGGTTTCTTTTGTGTGATTGAGCAGGATATTTGCGTGATGCCTAACAATCTCACCATCTAGTATGTGTCAGTACATGTTTTCAAGTTTAATTATATGCGACAGTGGCGTCTCAATGATGGGCAACTATACCTCTGCGAATTTTCTGGAGTATGGAGATAAACTTCCTGTCGTCTTGTCTGTGAATTTCTGTGAGATTGATATGTTCGAATTTGCAATCCTGCCTGTGTCAGTGTTGCTGCCGTACGAGTCGGATGGAGTATACAACAAACCTTCCACGCTTCGCTACGGAAGGCCCACTTGTCGGTGTCGAACCAGAAATCATAGCGACATTTAAGGTTCTCGCAAATATGATGTAGCTCTCCTTCTCTCTTTTCATGAATGAGCTTCCATCCACACCCCATACAATGCTGGAAGGGCTTCACAGGTGATAGTTGACAAAACTACGGTAATTAGCATATCAGCATCGAATCTTGTAGAGTGACTTACGTCTCCGGTAACAACGACTTGAACGCCGCCAAATGGGCCAGTGGCTTTGCCGGCGCGGCTGGCCTTCATGACTTCGCTCAATCGCTCAAATTGGAGGTTTTCAATCATGCTGATCTCATCGATGACTAGCACGTCGGTCATGTCGAACTTCTTCCAAGTTTCTTTGCCGTGAGCGGCTGCCTTCAACACATCCAACGATTTGTTCATGCTGTCCACTGTCCAACCAGCGAAATTCCAGGTCGTTTGTCCGCCAACGTTAAGCGCGGCGAGATTAGTTGGCGCTACAATCCGAACGTTCTTTCCTTGCTTTTTGAGCAGTGGAACGAAAGCCTTCAAGATAGTAGACTTGCCACATCCTGCAGACCCAGTGTAGAAGACGTTTTTCCCGCCGTCCACGATGAGATCTACGACTCTCTGCTGTTCTGCGCTCAATCTTATCTCGGGATCAGAAACGTTCTTGTTAGCAGTAGTGTTCGGTCTTGGAGACTTTGCTGCAAGCTGTGACTGCCCTACAACGTGTCCTGCTTTGGAAGGTGATAGATCGTAGTTTGCGTATCCTTGGAATCGATTGGAAGGTGAGGTTAGAAGGGGGTAAGTGTACTTTGGAGGAGGTGAAGGTGTACGTTGAGCCCTGTGCGCATCGTATGTCGGAGCAAAGTTGTAGGACTCTTGCTGCCGCTCCCTTTGGCGCTGGAGCGCTATTTCGACGCGGTATCTGTTTTCGTTCATATATTTCCATGCATCGTCTATGGTACGAAACTTCTTTTGCCAACCACCACTGTAGCCTTTAATCTGTTCGAGAACGGTATCATAGTTTGTATAGATACCAGGCACTTTCCCACCTGCTACCGCGTAGTATACAATCTTCTTCGCGGAGAGATTGGGCTCCTGAACATATAGCCCAGCATTCCGCAGATCTTGCGGCAGGACAGGTTGTTTTGAGCTCGTCATCTGTTGCCTTGGTATGCTCTTCGTTGGCTCTGGGCTCGAAAGTATCTCGACTGGGTTGTGTTGAGTTCCGTACTGAGGCCCACTATAGGCTTGGGCGTGATCTTGCGTGGCAGAATGGACTCTAGGGCTGGTTGGCGATACGGCTTGTCTAGGTCGCTTTCTGAAGGCGTCAGGATGTTCTCCATCTGACTTTCGTTTTGTTGGCCTCTGTTCTGATGCGTCGTTTGGCCGCAATGCAGCCATAGGTGGAATATTTTCCATGTTCGACATTGGCGGGAGCAAGCTGTCGGAATGGTACTGCATGTACGTGGGGTACTCGACAGGTACGGTTATGGAAGAAGCGTAACGCAAAGGAGTGTAATGCGAGTACTGCGGCGGAGCGGCCGTGGGACCGGTAGTCGGAGGGGTATTATTCATATACGCGTCCAGCGCATAATCATCTATACAAGCGGTGTGAGCTCAAAATTTGGTTCGCGATTTCAACGGGGGACAGCCAACACGTACTGCGTGGGCACGGCGAGGTGATAAGAGGGATCGAATGCGCCATGGTATCAACTCACGATGCAAGGTCACCTCTCACTAAAGCCCATAGAGAACATAAATTGACTGATATAATCATGTATTATCGATGGATATGGCCAATAGGGACGAGCTCGATAGATGCAGCCGCGATGCGGGGTGCGGGAGCGATTATGAAAGAGGTGGTCGCGCTCCAGCCAACGCGACAAATCGCGTTGGCTATCGCGCTAGCGCAAGCTAATGTGGGGTCCCGCCTGAACATGTGGAGCGGAACGTCCGATACGTCAGACGTTTGCACAGAAGAGATGCTGGTAGCATAGTAGGCATGTTGGTCGGATCATTTCAGAACAGGTGCTTCATACCGAATGTGTTGTCGTGTTGCTATATCGGACATGTCCAGCGCAAGGCCATGAATCATTCTCCAGTGCTCATTATAGCTTCTGATGTAGCCCGACTACGACCTTGTCCCTTCTTTTGCATCTTGTTCGCCCTACCAGCCTTTGCCCGCCCATTCCCTAACCATCCTGGCTTCGCCGTGACAGGCTGTAGGAACCCATCGATGTGCACACCACCAAACGTCCGCTCTTCGTTGTCAGAATCGTTGGTTCTAGGGTCATAGCCGTGGACTCGCATGCAGTGCTCGACCACGCGATAAGGTAGAGCAAAGTCTTTTTCGTGCCCATAACAATCTACATGCGGACAACGCAATGTGCCGATCTGGAAGAAGGGTCGCTTAGGTGTTGGAGGCTGCGGGATTAAGGAGACGGCCGGCGGCGGTATAGCTGAAGGTGTGTAGAACACAGGCTCGGAAGCAGGCTTCAAAGCAAGAGTCTCGTGGAAGTGCATAAATGACATGCTCTCACCAAACAGAGCTGCGCAACGCTGAGCCGTACGTGCAATAGCTTCTCTGTCCCAACCCTGTACAGCAGCTAACCCAAGCACTTCACTCCAATCCATAAGGCCTTCCCTCAGCTGCAGTTCTTGTGTTTCTGAAGCATCGCTACCACCGATGCTGCTTGAGGATCTGCGACGTTTTCGTTCGCGGGTTATGTTGTTGGACGCCTCCCAGTCAGATGCTCCACTTGAGGTAGCATCACTATCGGGAGGCCTTCTTCCATCTTTGGCAGTCTTTGTTCCTGGTTGTGCTGTGTGAGCAGCTCGCGCCGATCTTGCACGCGAAGGAGGTCGGGTGCTTGATCCGCGACTTGTTCCACCCTTCGATCGGGCTCGTGATGTAGACCTTGACTCCGGCGCACTCGACTCTGCACCTGATGTGAAGTCACTCATGGAGGAATCTGCCGACCCGCCGCGACCGAAATGGTTGGCACGAGTTCGGCGGATAGCCAGTGCAAGCTCGTCTAGCTTTCCCATCATGGCCTGGATCGTTGGCTGTAGAAGCCGCTGTGTTCTCGCGTCGTCGGCTAGCAAAGTCGGCTCGGTGAGTCTCTCGTTACGAGGTTTCCTGCCACGTTTCTTTCCAGTCGCATGATGGCGTTCATCGTCGTCGCTATCGTCGTGTGCTTCGTCTTCATCTTCCGGTGGAAATGGAGCCATGGACGTAGAGCGCGACTGCGCGCGACTGGGGCTTTGAGATCGTGACTCGCTGCGTGAAGCTGTTGTGTAGTCGCCGGCGTCGGATTCAGACGAGGCCGCTTCCCGGGAGTTCCATCTCTCTTTGGCCAGTCGTAAAAATACAGCTTGAAGTTCGTCTCGGAGCTCATCTCCTACATCTTGTGTGCCTATGCCTGTGCCTGTGCCTGCAGAAGGCCATTCGACGGTCTGACCGCCCGCCATGCTATCGCCCAGCTCGTCGTCGGAGTCCAAGAGTGATGCTGGGGGCAGTGGCCATGCCGTCCACTCTTTGGAAGGCACCATTGCCGTCTGCACGAAGCCTGCCGCATCCTTGTATTCGAGGTCTTTGCCAGCCTTCAGCCAGTTGTCCCTACTCTGCCAGTTTTCGAGCTGCGCCGTGGCTTCCTCGGGTCGTCGTAACCGCCGCTTGAGCGCATGGGCGTTGTACAGATGTGCCGCAAGATCTGTGTCTTGGATCTGAGCGAGCGAATCTGCTACCTGGCGATCGGCCTCGGTGAGGCTCTGCCATGCTTGGGGTTGGCCGAGAAAGCGGTTCGGGCGCACCGGTTCGTCGTCGTCGTCGTCGTCTTCTTCTTCTTCTTCCTCTTCCTCCTCGTCGGGTTCGTCCCGTGCGGACCCGCTATCGGTGTCTAGGTCATCGTCTATGTCGAGTGATATCGGCACATGGAGATTTGGTGCTTCTTGCGCGTTGCGCGGGTCTAAGACCTCCTCAACTGACGGCGATGAGCGTGCAGAAGGAGAAGAAGGAGGTGACGACGAGGCATCAGATACGTAAGAGGAGCGAGATGGCGCGGCGCTACCACCAAACAACGACATCTTCGTTGCAATAAAGGTCAAAGCGAGCTTGTGGCTGTCGTGGTATCAGCATCTGCCTTCTGCGATCCATCCCTCGTCGCGCTTCAGCGTCGCGGCCAAATTATGGCGGGGTTCTCGAAAACGACGCGCCGTCACGTTGGCGCTATCGGCCTGGGTCGCTACCATCATTCCACAGCACATGTCCCACTCCCAACTGGGTATCCCAGAACACAGCTACAAAGCGATCTTCGTCTTACATGGCTTCTCGGTACCTTGGCTTATCCAACGTACCCAGCCGGCGGATTACTGCAAGTGTAGTTGAGGAAGTACTAGCGAATACCCACCGTTGGATCTGCACCTAGCCATCAGCAAGGCTAGACATTAACCGTCTTTTCTACCGCGGGCTCTAACCACACATCAACACCAACAACTTATCCTGTCATAATTTCACCGACATCAACTGCGCGTTGCGCGCGTCGCAATGTAAGACACATGATGCTAGCTTCCCATTGAGAATAGTGGCGACACTGTTGACATCTACCATCACGTATCGCCCCGTCTCGAAAACAGGGTAACCTTCTCCGCAATATCATCATTGGTAGGTGATACCAAGGACGCCCTGCACTGCCGTATTTCCAAGCCCTGCGGAGGCGCATCCACTGTGACACATGAGCGTGTACAGAACTTTCATGGCTAGGTAAGAACTCTGTTGGAAGCAGAACGAGAATGATTAGAAACATAGATTACGCAACGGTTACACCTGTAGACCTCCACGCAGCTTCACGGTGGGTGAAGTCAAAACCTCCTCTCATTTCGTACACACCGTCAATGCTCCGGAGATGCCACCGAAGATCGTGCCAACGACAGACTCTCGACAAACCACGAACTCCTCCAAGAGTCGGGCGAACGCTCCGAACGCGGCGCTTCAGCGGGGTCAGCATGAGCAATGGCATTAAGACAGCGGCAAGACTCATCAAAGTACTGCGCCTGATCTGGAGAAGAGTCCAACGGTCAGCAATACCGGTGATCAATGTCAAGGCACAAGGTCCGCGCTCTTGCAATCGGCACTAGAGAGCATCACCCAAAACCATCAGGCACCATCACAAACTTAGCTTTGGTAGTACCATACTGCACTTAAACGCTCTTGTACAGCTTCCTTCTAGGCTTCAGATAGTGAAACCGCAAGCTATTCGACATCCTAGCCCTTGATTCCTACGCATCGAATGCAATAGCCACGGCGCTACGTCAGCACGTGAGACCCCGGCCCAGTCCCCTATTGACGGGCTGTTGCCAACCCGCATGAACTTAGTCGTGATGCTTGTCGTCGATTGTTCCGACAGTGCGATCTTACTTTTAATTACACTTCAGCTTACACAGTAGGACCGAGCCGGAAGAGCCACCGCATATACAATCACTCGCTATGTTTTGACCATATAAATACAACACGTCTGGTGGTCGGTAAGAGAAGTATTACCACACACTCCTTACCTTTCTTATCTCCCTGCAAACCTACTCCAGTCATGCGTTCCTTTGCTTCTATTGCCGCCGCCGCGGTGGTCGCCCTTCCTTTGGCCATCGCAGCGCCCAACAAGGCCAACAAGATGGATGCCAGCTACTATAAGCCGGAGCAGGTTATCGATACCGATGTCGTGATTATTGGTGGGGGTGGTATGGGTGCCTACTCTGCTATCCAACTCAAGGACGCAGGAAAGAGGGTTGTGGTCGTTGAGAGCAAATCCCGTATGGGAGGTCACACAGAGACTTACATGGATAACGAGACTGGAATTCCCATTGATATGGGTGTGAAGCTATACCACGACGAACCTTTGGTGCACCAATGGTTCGCACGCTTCAACCTTTCCACTACCCGGTTCAACATCCCTGCTCTCCCGACGCAGAATGTTGACTTCAGGACTGGGCAGGTTTTGCAGGGTCTGCCTGCTCCTAACCAGACAGCCATGGCTATTGCTCTGCAGAAGTACGGTGCGGTTCTCGCCAAATATCCTCAACTCGAGGGTGGTTTCTATTTGCCAGATCCCGTTCCCGAGGATCTGTACATGCCCTTCGGCCAGTTCGTCCAAAAGTACGACATCGCTGATGCGGTACAAACCATCTTCGGTCTCACTTCCGCCTTTGGTGACATCCTCGAGCTCCCCGCTCTGCAGCAGATGCGCACCTTTTCCCTTGGTCTCTTGAAGACTATGCAGAACTTTCAGACCAGCTCGGTAATGGACAACAGCCTTCTTTTCGAGAAACTTACAGCCGAACTCCAGGCTACCAACTCTGTTCTTCTATCCTCTAAAGTCACCAAGACGCAGCGTGTGAGCAAGGCTGATGGCGGCGTCAAGGTCCTTGTCGAAACACCGATGGGCTGCCGTCTCATTCAAGCGAAGAAGATCCTTATGGCTATCCCCCCTACTCCCGAGAACCTCGCCAAATTCGACCCTAGCGGCGATGAGTTGAAGATTTTTAACCAATTTACATCTGTCGGATACTACACCTCTATCATCAGAAACGCTGGCCCTACGAACATCACACTCCAGAATCTCGCTCTTGACAAGCCATACGCGCTGCCACCCATGCCTGCTATCTACAATGTCAACCCCACCGCCAACCCAACTCTAAGTCTCGTCTACTACGGCACCAAGGTTGGTCAGCATCTGAGCGACGAGGAGGCTAAGGCTGCGATCATCGCGGACCTTAAGCGCTTCCAGGCTGCCAACAATATGACTGAGACTGAGCCGGAGTTTGTCGCATTCAGCAACCACAGCCCATACAACATGTTGGTCGGTGAGGAGGCTACCCGCGCCGGATTCTACAAGCACCTGTACGGACTGCAAAGCAAGCGCAACACTTTCTGGACAGGTGCCGCGTGGAGGGCGCATGACAGCTCTTCCAGCTGGGCTTACACCAGCCAGAGCGTGCTACCTCAGCTTTTGGCAAGCTTGTAGATGGAGCAAGTATATAGTGGCGGATCACTATGCTGATGGACAACAACCGGGCTGTTTCCTACTGCTTTGGTCGATTCAGATATCTCCATTTATACGCTAATATAATGTCTTCAATATTTGTATTATTAAACTATCCTTGATTAGCACATTGCAGTCTTGTTCAAGCTTGATGTGACTTCATACAGCAATTTCGAGCGCGTGCTATAGGATACAACAATCTATCTATGATACTTGACTGGTACATGGGTCCCTGACTGTTACTAGTCTACCATGGTCCCTATCTAGACCAGCACGCTAGACTACTCATCCGATACTTCCTACCCTCGTGCACTTCGACCCGAAAATCCTCTCATGATGGCTTCAACATCCGCAGATCAAATCCGACCCGAAGGCAACCACTCTCTTTCCACGCCTGTTCGATTCCTCATACTATCTGACACACATGGGGCTAAGTTACCAGAAAATCTGCCACCATGCGATGTGCTGCTTCATTGCGGCGACTTGACCGAAGACGGCACCCCAGAAAGCATCTCTCTAGCCCTCCAACATCTAGGCAAGGTTAAAGCTAACCTGAAACTTGTCATTAGTGGCAATCACGAAATATCGCTGGACAAGTCCTACTGGCTGTCCCAGGGCGGAGAAGAAGCTGATGCAGAACGAGCGCTCGGAATGGTGAGCCCGAAGGCAAGCTCAGAGGCGAGCGAGAATGGCATCACGTTCTTATGGGAAGGTACATATACCTTCACGCTAGCATGCGGCGCGACTTTCAGGATATACGCATCACCATACACTCCTGTCTACGGCACATCGGCATTCCAGTATCATTCTAAGGAAGACCGATTCAACTCTGCAGGCACCCCGTCGTGGGCTCAGAACGTTGGTACCGAGACCTCGACCATTCCCAACAACGTTGACATCGTCATGACCCACGGCCCAGCGAGATACATACTTGACGAGATTGACGGTCATAGTGCGGGGTGTGAACATTTGCGACGCGCTATCGCGAGGGTGCAACCACGATTGCATTGCTTTGGGCACATTCACTCGCCGCGTCGCGGCTTCTACGAAGCGCATGTGCTGAGGCACGAAGGACAAACGGTGCTGGAAGGCGATCCCATTGGATCGATATCGAAAGTATGGATGGGAGAGAATTCATGTCGTAAGAAAGGATTCAGAAGCTTGACTCCGGGCGCCGCTCAAGAATTTCGAGAGAATAAGCAGCAGACTCTGTGCGTCAACGCAGCAATGGAGGGTGATGAGCCAGGCGTGCTTGAACACCCACCTTGGCTGGTCGAGTTGGATTTGCCCGTGCAGACACTGTAGAGATGGCATGGCACGGTGGGATATACGGCCGGCAATATTTTGAGTCTCATTTACGTGCGTAAGCTCTTGAGAGACATGGGAACACCTGGTTGGTCGAGCTTGGACATTGTGGGGCGCTGCAGCTCGCAGTCCGTGGAAGCCGGCGAGGCGTCCCAGATCGCATGATGCCTATCTCGCGGTCGGTAGTAATGACCCCCGATCATGGACATATTGAGTTATCCGGTGGGCCACTATGCATCCAATTCTACAGCTCATTGGTGCATCGCAAATGCCATAAGTAGTAGGGTTCGCATAGTATTGAGGAATGATGCATACAAAGGTAGAAGGCTCGCTGCTTATGCCTTTGGCTTAAGGATAGTCATCTCCAGCGCATCGAAGCCCCTCATTGACAAACTCATAACTAAGATTCCCTTTCAATCAAACCAGCAACACACCTAAAATGGCGGCATCTTCTTCGCTCACGCTTTATCGTCCAGGGCCATCAAATGCGCTGTCAACACGTTCATACTCAACCTCGCTCATCTCGTCGCGTCTGTTCAGCCAGCAGACTGGTACAGCAATCGCGACTGAACTCCTCTATCGTATACTCATCGACATAATCAACCGCTTCCTCTGTTCTTTCCAGCGCCTCGCTTCCCGTGGCATCGACGAGGCCTCATCCTGGATGGAGCGCAAGCTGCAAGAGCGCCGCGACAACCTCAACGCTGCCAAGGCCAGTGCCAGAGAGGGTCTAAAGATAGTTGAAGAGGTGGGCAAATTAGTTGAAGACCGTGGCTTTCTAACTTGCCCAATGACGGGTCATGCCATGGATGCCACAGCAGAAGGCAAGAGGGAACTACCTGGGCCGCCACAGTGGATCCGGGGAGTACTCGCTGGTATCGATGAAGGAAGGATGGTAGAGAGAGACTTTTGGATCCACACGCATACCGGATGAGGATGGGACACCGATGTATACGAAACGGTATCATCAAGAACTAGGTGATTGGCGCGGCGCTGTACTGGTCCCAGACATGCGCTGAAGGTTGAATCGCATCCATGAAGCGTCTGTTACCACAGAATGGCTCTATTCCAGGGTAACCGCCCTTTGCTGCAAGCCACCAGCTCGATAAGAGCGTTCTTCCGGCGGCCACTGAAGTTGCGAAAGTTTCTTCGAGTGCCATCTCAACGCAATCGCAGCATCCGAGAACGACTTCGAAATGATTCTTCCAAGTCTGAGGGCGATTCTTCGAATCATGTCCGTGGCAGGACTGAATCACGACATTACCTTGATGAGCTCTCTATGATACCCAAAGGTTGCACATAGTCCTACGAGGGCGCTCTAGAGGATCCGGACTCTTTTGATAAGTTTTGCATTACTTGTCAGCCCCCAATATATGCGCATTTCTAATGTAGCCACCGCATCGACCATGAATTCCCACATCTTTGATTCGAACACCTAGCTTATCGTGCGCTCTACTTTTTTACAATAGCTATCCTGCCAATACCATGTGTGTCTCAACCTACTTCCTCGCAACTATCATTATCTCCTAGGCTGTTTAAATATGTGACATGTTGTCTACCTGCCGTGCTGCTACAACAGCATCCCGTAGGTGGCTTATTTCTAGTACTCTTGTCCTGCCGAGTATTGCTGTCCAGCTATCTCCTTTGGAGCATATGTGTCTACCGAGTACAGTGCCCATGCAGCACGCCATATAGCCTCCATGTTACCTTGCAGCCGGCACGAGTGGGCATCAGAGGTGGTGCATAGCGGACTAAGAGCAATCCCAGCAACGGGAGTGAGAAGCTTTGCGCGGTTAGTAGCGGAGCAGGCGCTTTTATCTATCGCTGTCAACGTTTGAGTGTCGGCGTTCACTGCAGGCGCGAATGCGTAGCTTGCTGCTGGCAGAGTTGCAAGTCCGACACCCACTTCATTAACAGTCAGCATGTAGGCCATCTTAAACTCCTCGCAAAGAGAGCGTCATTATTGATGTCGACGATGAAGATTTTGACTTGAAGAACATGAAGTCACGTCATAGCTCACTGCTCACTGCTTCTCAGACACAGACTTGCTCAGCTCATCTAGACTGACTCGACTTACAGCAGGATTTTCTCTAAGGCGATCAAAGCTCACACTATATAAACAAAGCTTTTGGTTGCTTCCCACGCCTATCTTCTGCGATTGTTGTTTTAAGAAGCTCGCCAAAAACCTCTTTAGTTGTCACCTAGGTACATCAGAGCGCCATGCTCAAGAGGTCTTGCACATTGAGGATGTAAATATCCATGTCTGCTGTGAGGAGAGCGCATAATCCAATCTTTTGTTTTATGTTATGATCTTCTCGCTTCTATTCATGCTCGCTTGTCTGTTCTTCTCCTACACCGTCGCACTGGCTGTTCAGCTCAACCTCAGTGACTGCAATCAAGCCAAAACGCGTCTCGCACACTCTCAATTGCTGCCTTGTGTGCCCGATTTCCGAGTCGCTCTCACCTGAAGTTGCCGCTCGGACCATGTCGCTTTGCGTGCTCCTACTGGGTGGATTTCCACCTTCACCTAGCCATGCCCGCGCGTCCGCCCTTCCACTACCGACGAAGACCTTCTATACCCGCTCTATTGAGCCCACCTACACCTCACTGTCACCGGCAGAACCCCGGCCGGAGCTTGAGTCCCGGCTCCTAGCGTTGTCCGCGCTTGGGCCAGTAGTTCGCATATATAAAGGACGTTTCCACCCTTCCACCTACACTCTTTTTCTACTAGCAACAACAAATTCTACCTCAATTCAAACCTCTCTATCATCCTGTCACTTTACGTTATATCAAACTTTCTTCTCCAACTTAATTCGACCATGGCTCAACACTCCAACACCACTCCGGATCACTTCGATTTTGTCACATGACATCACACCTTCACTTGCATATCTCGGCCACTTGCAACGTTATGAGCATCACTCTTCCTCAATTAACATCACTGCTCAACAACACTCACACCTTACTTGGTCATCGACACTTCAATCAACCTTGGTCCAACCTTGATCCAACATGACCTCTATCGATGATCATCAACAACCTTTGATCACCCTGAGCCATGGTCAATCATTCGCCTTCCTCTTTCGACTTTGAGCATGGTAACTATCCTCTCCCTCCGTCGTTTCTTCCCCCATCTTTCTTTTCTTATTATCAGCCTGCTAACCTTTTCAAATTCAGCATGCTGCCTTCGGACCGCTTCAACCGCTTCAGCTCTCCACCATAGAGCCTGCTCAGCATCCTCAAGCCCTATTCAGGCCGCCTTCCACACATCACGGCAGCATCGCATGCTCACGGCCGCTCGAGTCGTACAACGTCAGGAGGATTAGGTACAGGGTGCAAGACGGATTGCAGGTGGCCCTACGAGCAGCGGATGGAGGATTGGCATACTGGTGGGAAGTGCAGGACTTATGGTCAAGACAGTAAGAGACGGAATATACAGATCTCGCTGGGATCTCGCTTTGGGCCTACAAGGCTGCTTCGGCAGACCTCATGGCTGGTGGTTGATGATCTGGAGGACATTCATTCTCACATCAAAGTGCTGGAGGACAGACAGTCTATGGTGCTTCGGTACTAAGCTGGGCCTACCTTGGAGATGTTAGTCCGCTAGCCTGTCGTTCGTCGCGGCCCAGATCATCACCCCTGCATACCTCGATGGCGGCCCTTATGGGTCTGGATCAACTTCGAGAAATGCAGCATGCGAAAGGTTATGAGAGACTCGAGGTGAACATACCTGCAGTCGGTGGTCGATGTTTGGGTTGGGTTTGAGAGCTTTGGACATTGTGCTGATGGCTGGTGGATTTGGGCTTCATCGGGTTGGATTGAATCTTGGTTGGACTTGGGTTGGACTTCACTCTTTCTTCTTCTTCATGGTATCGCCTCAGCATCAATGCATCCATTTGCCTCACAAGACCTCTTCTTTTGTTTGCTTGACTTGACTTCTTGATCAATCACCTTTTTCTTCATTCGTTCTCCTTACTTGATATGGCTGCTCTCTCTCAAGAACCCCTGTTGGCTTGATTGTGTCTTTTACCAACTTCACTTTTGACTTGATTATATTTTCGTCTCTAGCTTGGTGCTTCTTGCACAAGATGTGTCACTTCATTCAACCTTAGGTTTCTCCTACTTTCGACAGTGTTATGCCTCTAATTCTACCTAATGTATATACCTTTGCTACGTACTCTTACATCACAGACTATGTCGCATGCTACTAATATGCATTATAATGTAGTTATTGTCTATGGGAAGTACCTGAACTTAAGTTGCGGCTGCGTTCTTAAACATGTCTTCTCCTAGCCCACTTGCTCAAATACTCCCTTCCCTCAAGTCTCCAAGTATCCTCCTCAACATAGCTCCCATTGTACCCTCTCCCCTTTGCCTGGATAACAAGATCAAATCCTTGTGCACTCTCGTTGTACTGCGGCCACAGTGGCAGTGCTTTGCTATTAGGATCGCCACTAGCAACAAAGTTAATCCATTGCGCGCTCATCTGATTGCTTAACGCTCTGTACTCCTCCCACGGCCCATAGAAGTTGGGGTTGGCGAAGACAAAAGCCACCTCTGTGAAGTGCGCGACACCCTTGTATGCGCGCGCGCTGCCGCCTTCATTAGCAGTGTTGTTGTTCTGCCAGGGGAGCGTGTTGAAGCGGTAAATATACGTGGGCGAGTATTTGGAGTAAGCGCGGGCGTCCGTGAGGCGGGGTGCATGGTAGAATGCGTCGCCCATGATGGCAGCTATGCGCTTGTACTGGAGACCCTGCTCTGCAAAAAGCTGCACGTCGGTGTTAAGGGGTATGCCCAGGGTGGGGTCGTTGGGATAGAGCTCCATGATATGCTGGACAACCGTATCAGGGAAGTCGAAGCCTGTGCTGCCGGCGAGGTAGGCACGAAGATCTTCGTCGGTGTTGATGACACCGTCCGCAGGCGCGTTGTCGGTACCTTCATCAGAGTTGGTACCGTAGAGGTGGGGGATATGAGCGAAACGGCCTGAAGCGAGCAGTTCCGTAGGATAGGCAGGAATGATGTCTCCATCGACAGTCGGGTACCAGCCGGGACCTTGAACCGGAGCCGCAAGTAACGGGAACATAATCTCATAAGGCACTGTGCGCAGGCACTCCAGTGTGTCAACTTCATTAGAGCAGTTCGTTTTGTTAACGACGTTATCGTAGATGGGCTGATACCAATCAGTACCTAGAAGGCGCGTGTGCCAATTTAGTGTGTGTCAATCACATAGAGTTCTACAGGGACATCTCTTACTCACCATTGTACCAAGCCGTTGCCGCAGATCCGGACTCTTGTATGCTGCGGTGAAACAAGCCATCTGTACGGCCACCGTAGGACATGAGTAGCTGGCCTACTGCAAAGCTTCCAGCAGACTCGCCCCAGATGGTCACTGTGTTCTTGTCGCCGCCAAAGGCTCCAATGTTCTCTGAGATCCAGGCGAGTCCTTTGCGCATGTCGCGAAGTGAGAGGTTTGTCTGGCCGGTACCCTGGATCTCTCGAGAGTACATCATACCCCATCCGCCTTTACGGTAGTTGATACTAGCAGCAATGATAGGTCGACCAATCTCTACGCTTCGCTGGACAATATATGTGAGGTTATAATTCGCAAGCGCGCTGGTGCCAACTTGATAACTGCCTCCATGAATCCACAATGCAACTGGCAGCTTCGCGTGATCGCCAGCTGAAGAACCGGCTGGGCGAACAATATTGATGCTCAGACAGTCTTCGCTCATGCTGAAGCTAGTATCTGATGGGTCTGGACAGGTATCTCCGTATGATTTGGCGGGGCGCGTGCCGTTCCATGTCGAGTTCAAAGACTGTGGTATGCGAAAACGATTCTGACTTCCGGTATCTTGCGCATACGGAATGCCTAAGAAGAGGTCCTGATTGAACGAGGGAAGATGTAAGCCTTCGTATGTTCCATTCAAAACAGCGACTGTAGGCCCCGCAGCACTCGCTATTGTTGTCAGGAAGCACGTTGCTAAGACCCCCACTTTCCAAGCTCTTGTGATGGTTGCCATGATGCTGACTGGTATCTGGCGGGAAGAATACTGTAAGGAACTTGAATGCGGAGAACCTGTACTTGTATGTCGTAGCTAGCTGCATCCCGAATCTAGCGATGATAGGGCATATCTTTAGAAGCACCGAAAAGGGCCTGCATCGTGACGTGATAGCCCTCCCACTCTTGTGGTGGACAAGCATATCCAGCGCGATCGGCAGTGCATGTTCGGCAGTCCGCGCCAATCAGGAAGGTCAGTACGAACCTTGCATATCTGCGAAGTTTCCGACGCATACAAGCTGCAAGTTCTTGTCACAAGCACACAACATCGCGCAATTCCGAGGTTGATAATCGCGGAACCGGAATCTGAGACCTGAGCGATGGTAGCCTAGAACAGCTTCGATAGAAAGCTTTTTCTCTTTTTTCCTGTTTCTTTCTCCGGTAACCCTGTCGCTGTGTTTGGTGCAGAGAGTAATGTATTCCCAGGTAGCTCTACTGGCATATTTGCAACACCGTAGTGCGGTGTCTTCTCCACGAATGCGACAGCTGGTACCGCATTCTGCTGTATAGGGCTTGTGTATATAGGCAATGGTGAGCTCGGTGCCGATTGTGGCGACACCGGAATGGCCATAGGTAGCCGCGAAGCATTGATGATATGCGTTGACTGCGGTTGAAGATATGTTTGCGCTGGTACTTGTTGCGCATGCGCATATGATTGTGCCTGTAGCGGAACGGTATGTTGCATTCGTGAGTGCTCAACGGCCCAGAGATCGAATACTTCAGTCATGAGTCGCATCCATTCTGAAGGAGCTCCTTGGAAGTTGTACTTGACGGTCCGGTCCTGGAATGCGATGAAGTAGTGTTGCTTGTTATACGGCGAAATGGCGACGTACTGGCAACATCAGTGCTGCACTCATGCGATCAATCGGAACATATCCTCTGTACTTACATTGACTGTACCCGGCGCAGCTTCAGCAAGGATCTTATTCAAAGAGTTGTAATAACCTCTCAAGTTCCACGCCAAGTCGCCGTTTGAGAACAAGACGAACCAAGCGTCTTTCATTCCAATGCCAACACAAGTTGGTGTAACTAGCGACTTCTTCACTCTGCTCTCAAGGTCCGAAGGTATACCGGCCCATATCGAGCCATGTCCGGGTGCGCATGCGAAGTAGCTGAAGTTCTGGCCAAAGGTCACAAAACAGGAGCGGGCCGCATTTGGGAACGACTTGATCCATCGCGCGAGATCAGGATAGTTGACATCGAAGTACGTTTGCGAGTGGACTGTGTTTGATTAGTTTCCATATTGGACAAGAGGGGCCTGGCCCGCACCGCCATCTGCCATGCGTTTCATGGCCGCGGAGTTTAGGCCGGGGCAGGCACTTACAGAGCTTATCCTCCCCATCTAAAGTCTTGCAACCTGCATACCAGATCGGCTCTGGGGAGTCTATCTGGGGCGCGAGGGCGAGGCAATAAGGGCTAGCGATTCTCCATTCTGGGCTCATGGAGCTATTGAACAACTGACGAAGCGTATGCGGGATTTCATGACTGCACGCTGTTAGCCATGCCTCGCGTCTTTCTTTACCATGCTTACAATTTCCAGGTTTGAGGACAGTCGAAGAAGAAGCTGTTTCGCGGCCCAAACACAAAGGATATCTCCGGCATCTTGTTAATTACACGCGCCGCAAGACTGTACAGGCGAGACAGAGAAAGGAAGCTGCGATCATGCGCACATTGTGAGGCGTCCGCCCAAGGACGTGGCGGGCTTTGGGGGCCGCAACCAGCAACACCAATTGGTGATACGAAGCCGGCAGCACGCATGCATATGTCTCACACATGCAACGGCCTCGAAAACATGTACAGATATGCATCGCATGCCTAATCTCACATCTAAGCGAACAGTAAGACTTAATCGACAGCCGGATCAACACCACCTCTCTTTGCTGCTTCGACAGACCACATATCCTCCGTAATCCAAGGCGGAACAGATCTCGGCCTAACCGCCAACCCCTTGTAACTTTCGAGCTGTTGCTTTGGCACCACGAACACAAAGCGGAAGTTGATCATGCGAGAGTATTGCTCAAGATCGACAGCAGTCTCACTCCAGAATTCCATGATATTGAATGGGTGCGTGCGAAACAGGCCATCAACAAGGAGACGAACAACGACTGTTGATTGCCGCCGCATGTGTCGCATCGTGCGCTGAAAGAAATTCTGGAACTTGCGGCCATTTGTGATTGGACTGCTTTGCGAGAGTTCAACAGAGAACAACGTGCCTATTCGGATGTTGCGGTCTTTGTCACCGCTAAACAACCATGGTAGAATGACATTGGCTGATGCTCCTGTTTCTTCAATCTCTGCTGCACGACACTCACCAATGAGTTTAAGCAGGTGTTTGATGAAATATAAGGCGCTGTCGTAACGGTTCGGGTTGATGCGAATGGTCAACACTGGGGGGCCTAAAATTTCAATTCTTCGACGGTGCAGGATAGGACCAGCTTCTTCTGCGACTTGCTTGCATGTCTGGAGTATTGCTGAGTGTAAATAATCGTAGTAGATTCGGGCATTAGTGAGAGGGAGTTAGCGACGCGTAGTTCCTATGATGTTGTCGTATATCATAAGTCGAAGTTCCTTCGAGAGTCTCATGAAGAGATGGAACGTAGGATGGCTTGAACTTGTCAGCGGATGCAACTTAACCGTTGGCTCGGTCTCTAGAAGACGCACATGATGCGATTCGTTCGCAGGGATTTGGCTTGCCTTGTAGCTTTGTCAGACTTGGATTGGGTGGGCAGAAGGACACATTTGAGCTTTTTGGTAACATGGCGTAGCATTCTCGGGCCAGACAGGCAATATCTGCATCAATAATCAGCGACTGTAGTAGAAAGGTAAGAAAACGAGGTGGCGGATTGCCAGAACAGTATAGTGTGTAGCATCTTCACGACAACAGTTGCGTGATGTTTGCATTCTTCCAATGCTTTGAATTGTAGAAGTACAGGAAGTGATAGAAAAACATCATATGCGACCACAACCCTAACCTCCCACACAACAAATAGTGTGATGTATGTCGTTCCAAACTCCGGCCGTGCATTTCTCAAGTCCTACCATCTTTCTAGATGTGAACCAGCCCATGTATTTTGTCATAGACGTCGCGAGCCTCAGCAACCAGCTGCTCCTTCTTGACCCGAGGTGCCAAGTGACGTTGCCCTACCCAATTTACGAGACACTCAATCTGTCCGTCACTCCCAGCCTTGTGCGCTTGTATCCGCTTACAGGGCCACTCCCAGCTCGCGTCTTCACCTGCCTTCAAAGATCAAACGCCCCAGCCTTCCTCCATCGCTCCGTGCTCCTCCTCGTGATCCAGAGCCCATTGACGAAAGAAAGCAGCTATCCATGACTCTTCTCCAAGCGGATAGTCATCAGGATCAATTTCGCGGGATAGGACGTGAGTATGGTTGAGCTTGGGTGCGCTAAGCTCTGGGCCATAGCGATGGCGAGTATCCTGGACGTTAACGGCGAGCAAGAAAGGGTCAAGTAGCTCAGCAAAATCAAGTCCCGGGTGGTATTGCCATCAGTATCGCTTCAGCGTTGTGCGAACATGAGTGAGGGGGATTTGCTCGGTGTTATTGTTTTTTGATAGCGTATAGGCGTCACCCTGTTGAGCAAGCTGGCGAAGGGCATCTTTAACGCTACCAAGCATCTCTTTAGCACGGACTGACATCACAAGCGACCCTGCCGGCGTATCCCCACTTGCCCCAGCGGCAAACAGCTCGCAAGCATCCGGTCGTAGGGGAAGGTAGGCGCCACGGCACGGCAGCGGACAGTTTGTGCTCGAGGAAAAGTGTCTCGATGTACCCCCGGCAGAGAACATGAGAGCGTCCCATTTTGACTAGTGCCACTTCCTTGCCATCATTTGAGGTGCAACTGTTCTCCTCCAAACAGATCGGGCGTTGTGCTCTCTCCACCACTAGCTGCCTGGTAGCACAGATGATGGTCATTGAGCGAGGACATGGCTTCACGCTCGATTTGCGTTTCGAGGGAGGCGATTTCAGAAGCTCCTGGTCAAGCGATGGAGCCTTGCACTTCCCGGGACTCGTCCATAGGCCAGTAACGTCAGTACTGATGGTATCGAAGCAAGGAAAGGACATCCTGGAAGGCTATGATCGCAATGTGCCAAGGTTCTGAAGACCAGACCAATGGATGGCGAAATATCACAGGAAGAGCATCATTCAAGGCTCGGAGGTAGGCTTGCTTGGCGTCGAAGCCTGAGATGAAGTGCGCGAGATTACAATCTTTGAAATAGAGGAAACCGCGTCGTGCCGCAACTTCTCCGCATGGGAAAGAACGTCTCGTGGAGATACGCGAATGGCAGGATTGGCAGCCAGCATACAGAGGTAACGGAGGAGCGAAAGACAACAGGTGCTGCAGGATGAGTAGGACACCAGAAGGGGCTTGCCAGCGGCGTCATTAACCAACATGTTGCACGATAGGTACTTTCTTCTCTCTTACAATAGGTATCTCCTCCTCGTAAATCTCCTTCACTTGTGTACCAGGAAATTCCTTCCTGAGCTCTTCACCTAGAAAGTGTATACCCCAGTCCTCAGCTTGCCGATGCCCCACGCAGGCTACCGACATGCCCAGCGCTTTCGCAGCTTCTATGCCACTGGCTCTTGGTTGGCCAGTCAAGTAAAGGACATGGCTACCATCTCCACCTTCTGCTATCCAGCCACGCTCCTGAGCCATTTCCAACACGCGATGCACCTCGTCCTCGTTAAACGCGTTCATGATCGCGACGATACTAATCTCGCCCGAGTGCCCTTCTTGCGCGAGTTCTGACTCACCAAACTCGACCTGTATGCGACCAAGAAGCTTGTGAAGAGGTGTAGAGACCTGGCCTACAATCCCAATCTTCCTCTGAGGGTCTCCCTTGTAGCCCTGGACACAAAGACAGTCTGTCGTCTTTATTCCCAAACGTTCTGCCAGCACCGTGTTCCAACCCACCGTGAGCACCTCATCAAAAGACGTGTGACTCGAAAGTACGAGCGTCCCTTTGCGCACACTGCGCCTATCGAGGTTGAAGGGTCGATGCAGGAAGCACAGCGTCCGTGGCGGCCGAGGATATATCTTGGGGATGGTGGCCGTTGCGCCGATCGTGCTCTCGTCTAGTGGGTAGCCGATCAATGAGTAGACGCCTGGCGTAGGAGTAACGCTCAGCACAATCTGCTCGACTACAGCCGTCTGGGCGTCGTATCGAGGATGTCGTGGTACGTGGTAGAGTCGCTGGACATCGTTCTCTTTCAGTGGTAGAAACGTCTCGACGAAGCGCGTCACAGCCGCGTGTGTGGGCTTCTTCGGTCGCGACATTGTGAGGATGGAGGTCAGTAATCTGTTCATTAGCACTGATCAAAAAAAGACCTTCGAAAGCTTTGCGACTTTTGGCTTCGAGTACGTCATCATCGCTTGTAAACCATGAAGCGGTAGGCGTTCGAACTCCGCCCTGTCCTCCATCACGAAAGTCGCCACCAGATGCACGTCTGGAAACAATAGAGCGCGTTCTGAAGACTGTGTTCGTCACGCCATGCTGTGAAGAGCAATTGAAAGTGGCATTGTAACAGCCTTCAACGCGCTCTGATCCGACGGAAAGAGGCTAATCCCATTGCGGTCTAGTCTCAGAATACCAGCCATCCCACCCGTTTGCACATAGATGTCTCAATACCATACAGCTTGTATAGAACTTTGATTCCTTGGTTATGGCGCTGGAACGGTTGCAGCAAGTCTACCAGGCCGTGACCATCCATGTCCATAGTCAACGCTGTGACTAAGTGCACTATTTCCCTCGGCTTCTCTATCTTTCGCTCGAGTTCGCTCCGAACATCGAGTCATACCTCACCTGCCGTTCGACTTTCTCTTCTTGGATTTCAGTCGCGCAGTCTTGTCACTATGAGAGTTACCACAGCTATTACTCCAGCCATTGTAGGCGCTTTACGATGCCAGAAAGATTCTTATCTGCAAACGCTCGACACGGAAGTCGTATCGTGCGAGGAATTCGTGCCCCCAAAGTCCTCACAGCCAAATGGCAAGTCAAAGACGAAGAAGTCCACGGATCCGACCAAGGGCCTTGAGAATGGGGATGTAGCAGGAAGCAAAACATGGCTTGTTGAGCTCGCGGACTCAGTACTATTCCCAGAAGGTGGTGGGCAGCACACAGACTACGGCGTGCTCACCATCCTCAAAGACGAGCGCAAAGAAGCTATCCCGATAAGAAATATGCAACGTCATGGTCTCCGTTGCATCCACTTCTCCCCTGCACCACTTGAGCCTGGAACACCAGTTCGTCAAACTGTCGATTTCGCCCGT